GCTGATGGGTGTCAGTGTCTCTTTCGCAAAGTGCAAGGAGATTCTTTTCAGGTTACAGAGGCTGAATAATTGTGCCTGCCACGGTTGATATTCCTCAGCTGTGAGGTAATTCAGTACCTGCATTCAAGGACAACTGTGGAAATCAGGATGTTTCCACAGGCAAACTTAACTTGCATGTCATTGTTGTCTCTTCTAGAGCCCCAGAGACTGTTAGTTTGGTGACTAGAAAAATAGGTTGAGGAGTATTTTGGATCCTCCTTGTAAAATGGGACCTCCTTTTTCAAAAGAAACTTTCTAGAGACAGACTGTTAGAAAAGAGTTGATGAGTTGGAGAACAGGAAATAAACCCTGTATCTGTCATTTTAAATTTTTGTTGGAGAACTTCCGGGTCCTCAAACGGAATTCTCTTCTTGCTCTGTGTCTTTGTCCTTAAGCAGAGGCCACTTAAGGATAAAATTATACCCATATCACTTTCAAGTGATTATGATGCATGAGCCCAGTAAGATGACACACTTTTCTCCTGGAAGGTTTCAGCAGCGAAGTCTCACTTTACTTCCTAGACTTTTCCTTCCTGCACTTCCCCTTTCTCATTCCACCTTAGCTTTTATAGACCACACACAACATTGACAGAGGACATTTTAGTTGAAAACAGCGGTTTGGCTTCACTTCATGTTTCCAAATAGGTACTGTATACACTGCCTAAGACCAGGGATGATGTGTGCAGCTATAGATGGTATTTGCTAAATTTTATCGGATTTCTGTCAGGATAAATGATATTTTAGAATCAGCAAATACTTACTCTGTCTCCACATTCACATGGAGCTATCCAGGTATATTACATATTTCAGGGGTACTAGGGCAAGCTGGATAAAATCTCTTTTAAAATATTTTTTCACTCTGTCCATTTTGCCACATCCTTTAAAATTCAGGCTTGGTTGATTGTGGTCAGCTGTTTGAAATGTAGGACAAATGACTCCATTCTCTCTGTACCACCGATTTTGGCAGTAGAATTGTGAAGCCTATTATGTAATGCATCTTCTTTTCCCTTGTTAGTCATGATCTAGATGACATCTCAAAGAGCAGAATCAGAGAGTCACGCCTGGGAAATGAGGGTGTTTGACTTCCATGCCTGTCACCCTGTGGGTTGGTCTCTGGGGTTGACTCAGGCTGATTTAGATGGCTAAGGAAGGTGGAGGGGGGTTCCTTTCTTCTCTCGTTCTTGTATCTGTACCTTCAGGTGAAGAGGATGACCTTCCCAGAGAGAGGAAGTGAGTTCTTTGGTCATGTCATGGCTGGCTTGTAAAAATAAACGTGATGTTTTCCACTGGCCATACACTTTCTATAAATAGCCCAGGAAGAAAGGATGGGGCTTCAGAGCTGGCCCTCTTGTGTTTCCATTCATAAGTCCTGCCTCTAAGTGATGGCAGTCAAAAACCATTTCACCTAATTTCATCATCATTTTGAAGACTGCAAAATTGGGGGATGGTGGTGATTATTAGTAACTTTTTTCTAATTTGGTGCTGAATTGGAGAGCCAACAGCAATAATAAACAGGGATTTCTAATCTTCAAATCTCTTCACAACTTTATTTAATCTGCACAAAGCTATAGCAGGAAACAAGTACAGGAGGAGTTATCTTCATTTCAAGCTTATACCGCTGGTCCAAGGTGACAGAGTTAGAATGTGGAGGTGATGGTGTGCTTCGTAGTTTGCATGGCTGTGATGTCTGGCCAAGTACATCAACGCTAATTGGATATATATATATATTTTTCCCCTTAAATGACCCTTTAATTATAAAACAGAGCAAAGTAAAATATGGCTATCCTTGAATTTAAGTTTTAAAATGTGATCAGCCACTTAGGTAGTTTTTATCACCTTGGATTGTTCATCTGTTGAAGTTTGCCATCGCTGACTTCACTCTGTCAGGGTCCTTTACATTGCTTTTCGTTTGTTGGTTTCTGTAACCCCTTTAGTGATCACTGAGCAGCTTTTGCATGTAAGGCAAAGCAAGGATCCATCCGTATGATTACAGCAGTTACCCTTTTGTCTGCTGGTGGGACAGACGTAGGTGCACCAGAAAGGCCCTCTGGCCAGGGACCAAGCTCTGGCCCTGGCCGTGAGCACAGTGCCTAAGCCGCTGAGCTTGGTTGTTTCTATGTCTGTTAGCTTAAGAACAATGCATAGTATTTTATTTCAATTAACATGCTAACTTACCCACAGTCAATTTCTTTATTTTTTTTTTCTGTCTGCTTCTAGGCCTATGTGAATTTTATTGGTAAAAATAACTAGAAAGGTCAATGTATAATCCACGTGAAGGGAGAGCAGGCATACGTAAATGTTAAAAAATTTATCGTGACTCCTGATTAATAAAGACACTACTATCGACCACTTTTGGAAGGTTAGTAGTATTCACAGCACTATGAAGCAAGGTTCATCCAAAGTGCCTAAACTGCGACGTCGTCATGAACTGTCTGCATTTCATAGATAGCATGATGAAGTTTTAAAAAATGCGAGCTAACAAAAAAGTGAGCTTAAATGCTGCTATCTCCAAAGATTAGCTAACATTAACTCATGTTCTTTAGCCTTTTCCCTCTTTTAAGGTCTTTGTGTCGTAACCTATGAAAACTGTCATAGAAAAAAATTAATCTGGAGGGAATTATAACGAAAAAGTATCAGATGTTAAAAAAAAATAGGAAGAAGATGTGGGAAGCAGGGAACCAGGAGGATTAGATTTAAACAATCAGAGTGGGACAACAAGTTCAACCATAAACAATTTGATATTTTGTCCCTGGAAAAGCATGTGCAGCTCCATGGCATTAGCGCTCAAATAGGCAAGCGAGGAATTCTGTTTGGCAGCCTGACCACATCCTGTAGCAATATACCTGAGCTCTAGTGCCTAGGTATATTTTGAGTAGCACACTTATCTCTGGTTTAATGTCCTTAATTTGTTTTCATAAAATTAAGGCATAAAGCAAAAAGGCATTAGGAGGTAGCACCAGCCAATTGTAAATCACCTTTTGAGTCGTTTTCTTGAATGATTGCCAATATTCTCTGACATGTCGCCAGACAAAAAGCGCACAAGTCTAGATAAACGGAAAAAAGGAAGCAGTCATTGGTGGACGCTGAGCACCACTGTATTCCATTGTGATGGGATGCACATCTTCCTACTGAAGATTTTATTCTTTCAGTAATGATGAATAATTATATCTTCATTGTGAAAATGGATGTCCACTCTTCTTAGTCACTATTCCAAAACTAGTACAAATTTTTATTGCCGTTAAAAAAGGACAAACGGATTGCATTTCTGGTTTGCAGATTTCTAACCAGTTGGTGGGCTTTTTATTCAGACCAGCTTTTTAAGAGTCTGTGAGTGCATTGCAGAATTAGAGTATTTATAGGTCGAGGCCAAAAATGCTCATTTGGCTGTTAATTGTGGCAGGATGTGACTTCGGAAGGCTCTGAACACATACCTAGATGCAGCAAAATGCTCACTTATTGACTATTTACCTCCATGGAGAACAGCTTTTGGTTTGAGCTTTTGAAAATGTTCTCCAATGTATTGTGCTTCTAAATGAAATGCATGATCTTTGATACTTTTTGTTCTTGAACAATCTCTGAAAGCTATTGCAAACGTGGCACTTCTTGATTGTGTAGAATTATTCTCGAATGTGTAAAAGTGGCTGGCCACCTTTCTCATGCCTTATACTCCACCTAAAATATGCAATGAGCACTCAAGTAGGAGCGGAGGGTCTTCAGTTGGTTTTTTAACCAAGCTGTAGAGACAGCCCTGCTCCTCACGGCTCACCCCAACATTGAGAAAGGACACCATGTAAATAAACCCTTGTTTCCAGATGAAGGGAGGACAGGGACATGTTAATTTCATTTCTTCTGTTAGTTCCATCTCTAGTTAGAAAGCATGATCTGTTTTTAATATGCTGGATGCAAAAAAGAAAACTAACAGGAAAAATTTTTAGAGAAGTACTCTAATTTTATATTTTAAAAGTTTATAGCAGCAGTTTGTTTGTAAAAACAGGCCTTAGCACATAGAT